CAAACAAAGCTTACCCCGATGGTGGACAGAGAAAACGACGACGATAGGGAATGATACATGTTGGGTTATGGTCAGAACTGAGTGGGGACTCTGATGGCGGCGGCGGTGAGGCCAACGGATGTCGAAATCAGCACGAAAATTGTGAAAACCACAACGGTGGGTGAAGCTTTTCGATGAGGCTTTCTTGGTTGATTCACGACAAACAGTGGGGTTAGACGGAGAGAGGTCAGTCAGATTTTGCTCGGCGTGGGATGACGAATCGAATGGTGGTGGTGTCGGGGCCTACAATCGCATGCGGTGACCGAAATCGTAAGGAGAAGAAAATGACAATTTTGAGTTTTTGACGAACAAACAATCGTCAATTCACGGTGAACGACGACGGCTTTCGACAAATTGGCAGAGGGCTTTTGATCGGAGGACGACGGGGAACAAAATGGTGGTGGCGATGCACTCCACCGTCGGTTGGAGATCAGTGGACGGAGGGGCGACGGGTTTGGGAAACATTTCCCAATGGGAAAGAAATGATTTTGGAATTTAAAATTCAGGCTAAGTAACTATAAAATGTATTTTTAATAAAATATATTAGAACAGTGCCCTAACCTAAATAGTAGGGCTTGGGGAGTCATTTCTTCTTCTAGTAGGTCACGAGTTTAATCCCACCAAACTCCTATATTTTTTCTTAAAGTTAAAGACTGATGAGATAATTTCATCTTAGGTCCCTGAACTTCCTATAATTTTTGAAAATTGACCTCAAGTTTTCAAAGTTTTTTACGATTTGATCCTCATAATTAATTAAAAAACAATTTAAATCAAAATCAATGAAAATCGGGGTGTGACATGGACCACCATAAATAACCAGCTGACTCCTAAAATATAAAGATATGTTCCAACAGATCATCTTCAACAAAACCACTTCCAAATTTATCACATTATGATTCACTATTCTGTTTACCTTCAATATTTCTTAGCAATTAACTTTACAGGATGATCAAGAAAAGGTAAGCCCGAGACTCACTTTCTAGCACTCTACAACATTGGAACAGTAACTTCACTTTATAGACCAGATGATAACTATAGTCTGCCATGCATGTGGCTGCTGGAAGAGGGTTAATTTCTCCGAACTTATCAATTAATTCATTGATATATAAATGTAAACGTGATGAATATGAGTAGTTGAATATTCATTAATATCTTGAATCTTGATAAATATTAAAGTTTGAATACGTAGAATTTATAATCTTATTTAGAGCAAGTACATTTTATTGATTGATTAAATTATTTATTTCTATTCTCTTATATTTTCTTAAATCATATAATATTGACTAATGAATTAGATGATGAAATGATTTGATCCGAAAGGGCTCGAAAAACCTGGAAAAAAGAAGCTTGAAAAGTTAGGACGTACGTACATGCATGTGAATCACTGCCATTGCATATATGACAATCGATTCACAGCATTAAAAGCTCAAAAATTTAGAAGGCGTGAAACTCACAGCAGCTTTTGGTGGTACACTATCAGTACATACTGAATATATATTTAACCTCCGAAACTGTTATACCCATCGGCAAATATTGTTTGGTTTCAGCAGGACAGGGTTCCATCAATATTAAAGGGCTGTGCACCAATAAGGTTTTCGGTATTTACCGACCTGGTAGTTAATAGATGGGATAACAATGGACGGACAATCCAGAACTATCTGTTGAGTGAAGTAGACCAATGATGACCCAAAACCACCTATTGATAGATATCACTCTAAGCCCTTTTGCTGATAACTGACACATGGTAGCAACAAGGAATACGAAACGGAATTAGTCGCTTCCTATTTATAGAGGCAGAGAGAGGATAAGTGGCAAATGGAGACAGTTGTCTTCTTAAAATTTAAAATTATCTCATATTTTTTATTTTTTATTAAAATTTGTTTTTGTTTGTTAAAATTTTATAAATTTTTCTATTTTTAAAAATTTAAAAATTTATCTCCTAATATAAAATTTTGCTTAGAGAGGAAAAAGGAAAAAAAAATTTACGAGCTAAATTTCTGTATGAGTTTCAGATTACCGTCATTCTTGATCATCTATATTGTTTAAATTTTTTTTATCAAAAGTTTAATCCATAATTTAAAAGTTGAGTGTCTACATATTTTTTAAATATTAAAATATTTAAATCTAATTTATATTTTAATAATAAATATTAACGAAGTAAGATTAAGTAAATATATAAAAGTTAAAGATTATATAAGAAAAATTAGATAAATATTGTTTAACTCTTAAATCTCATCTTAATAATAAATAAAGGCTAAACCTTCAATTATGTCTATATAAATTAATATTAATAGTTTTTTTTCGATTTATAGAGCTAAATTACTATTTTGATTCCTATAGTTTTAATTTTTTAGAACTTAGAAAAACATGACTGATAAAATATGCTTTTCATTATCATATTCCTTCCGTCCTATTAATTTTGTCAATTCTTGATTTATTAAAAGTCATTTTAGTCCTTAAATTTGTAATGTGTCTCTTTAAGTCCTCGGTTAACTTTCTTTTTTGTGAATTTGACTATTATGACGGAATAATAACTACACCGTTAAGTCTGATATTAGTTGTTTTGTCCTCTTCTGCCATGTCATCAAAATTTCAAATAAAATTGAAAAGATTAATTATTTTATTTTTATTAAGATATTGATGGTAACTATTTTTTATTTTTTATATTTTATGAATTTCTGTTAACATGAAAGAGAAAGAAAAAGAAATATTTTTTACAAAGATTTTGAAAAATAATTTTTAAAAGTGGTGAAGAAAAGAACTTTTAAAATTTTTGTTTAAAAGTGATTTTTAAAATATGATTGTTTGAGATTGTTGTTAAAAAGTGAGCTTTAAAAGATAAAATGTCTATTATAAACATTATATATGAAAAGATAAAGTGAGTTTAAAATTTAACTGCTTGAGATATTATTATTATTATTATTATTATTATATATAAATATATTAATTTAAACTATAAAAAATAAAAAATACAAATAAAAATATATTTATAATAAAAATATATTTATAATAACTCACTATTAATAATTTAATATATAAATCATGATTTTTTTTTATTTTTAAGTAATTAAAATAAATTATTTTTTAAGGATGTTAATATTAAATTATTAAAATAAAATGTAAATACTTAATTGAGAGGAGTTCATACATTAGTAACGATAAAATTATAATTTACTTACAAACCCAAGTTGAAAATGAAAAAGCTAGACATCATAACTTTTACGGTTGGTTTGAAACTATCGTTTTCAACGTAATTTATTTTACCCATTTAGCATTGATTTTGCGAATAAAACTGAATTTTTTAGCTAAAAGTGCATTTAAAAAATCACACCAAACGGAGCTTAAGTGAACTCAATTAATAAAGAGAATACTATTCTTTCTATATGTTATAGATTCAAATAACTGTATCTGTAGAGCGTATTGTTTAAACAATAACTAAATTTTTTATCAAATAAACCCTTAAATTGGACAAGTTAATGATCGGGCATGTTGAACCCGACCCAACTAGGAGATGATATTAGACCTTTGGTACGGTAACAAAGCGGTGTAATCTCCAATAGGTTGCCATTAGGCGTGTACTGTGAGTTCACGCCACACCCCCCAAACCCTTTATCCCCACTAGACGTGGTAAACTTAAAAACTCAAACCCGATTACTAAAATCGATTTACTCGATTCAATATCTGATATTAATTCGAACATGATAATTGAATTTGATCTGATACTCGATCCGAATCATATCCGATCCAAAAATTTTCGAATTCAAAATCAACAAGAACCAAAATTAACCTGAACTGAAAGCAACCCGAACTGAAATTAACCCGAATCAAAGCAACCCAAACAAATTAAAATTGATAAAAGCTATTAAATGATAAAAGTTATTTTGAATAATAAATTAATTTAAATAAAATTGATAATTTATTAAAAATATTATATTTATAATAAAATAATAGAAAGTTTGAAACATAAAAGTAAAAATCTAATTGTAAGATTAGAGACAATAATAAATAAAGTTTATTTATCTTACTTATTATAAAAATATTAGATTTACAATAAAAATAAAAAAACAACTAAAATAAAGGAAATAATATTATATTTATAATAAAAATAATATAAAATTTACTTATGTTACGACTAAAACTTAATAAATAAAGTTATGTATTATTTTTAAAATTTAATAAAAATATTAAATTTATAATTGGAAAATTAATTTTTTAATAAAAAATTATTTCTTTATAAAATAGTTCTCATTATAAACTTTTCATACGAGATCTATATAAAATTTTGATAACAAATTCTAATACGTATTATAAAATCATATTTATGTCAAATTATCAATTTATCATCTCTAAATGATGATTTAATTCAAAATATTGAACGATTGAGAATTAAAACTAAACATAAATGATAAAATTAACAAATAAGAAAACATATATTTACAAGTATATATTAATTATTCTATATATACTTAATTTTGGTTAAACTCATAACCAATTCAACTTGAATTGACATGATCTAAAAGTTGACCTAAACAAAAAAACAACAAATCTGATACTGACTGACCCGAAATTTAACTGATCTGGTATTAACCCGGCCCAAAAATCAACTGATCCGGTATTGACCCGATCCGATACTGACCCGATCAAAAAATCAACCGATATGATATTGATCCAAACTAAAAAATAATCGATTCAAAAATTGACCCGACTCAAAAATTGACCTTACCCAATCTAATTCACCATACACTAAAACTAGATCTTATCCGAACAAATTAAACTAAATTTAATCCATACGCAAAATTTTAGGACTCAAATCCAATTCGAATGACCCGTTTCCACCTTATTCCCCACAAGTATCCCCCACATGCTTTTCTTTTCCTCTTCCAATTTCTAGTATTTCGCCATATATACCCCTTCAAGTCCCCCTCCACTCTTTCACCCACAACTCCTCTATCTCTCTCTCTTCCCCAAACCTCTCCCTTTTACCCTCCACAAGAGAAAACAATGGCAATCGACAAGAAATCCAACAAGCTGCCTCAAACAGCAGTGCTCAAGCAAATCCTGAGGAGATGTTCCAGCTTGGGAAAGAAGCAAAGCTACGATGAACAAGGTCTGCCTTTGGATGTCCCAAATGGTCATTTCGTTGTATACGTTGGTCCTAACAGGAGCAGATACATCGTTCCTATTTCTTTCTTGACCCGACCCGAGTTCCAAACCTTGCTTCATCTAGCTGAGGAAGAATTCGGGTTCGATCACGACATGGGTCTCACCATTCCTTGTGACGAAGCTGTTTTCCAGTCTCTAACATCCATGCTCAGATGATTAAGCAATGGTTTAGGGTTCATGAAAAAACAACTTTTTTTTGGAGAAGATGAAGCAGCTCCATTGCTTCTCTCATTACATTTTTCTCTCTTTTTTGCTTGAGTTGTTATGTAACTCTGACCCAAAACCCATGAAATATTATTTAATTTGTCTGGGTTGTTTTTTAGATTTGTAAATCTGATAAAGTTTGAAAATTTTCCTCACTGAGGTCGACTACCAATGTACCCAGTGAGAGAACTAAGGGAGTACCCATTTCCATTTAATTTTTCTTTCTTTAATTTCCTCTGCATATTTGTTCTCAGTAGGCGCACGTTCACCAGTTTTCAAGGTTTTGTCTCTTAGCTTTTTCATTTTTTTTTTTAAATGTTTCTGGTTAACTCAACGGTTGAGCCGTTAACGACTGTTATCGACCAGACAGCTCATTGGAATGTTTTGGCAGAGATGAAGGTAAAAACATTCATCAAACAAAACCCAGCAATGTCACCACACAAAAAAACCTTAAGAATATGAAAACAAAGGGTTAAAAAACGCAATGGGTAACTTTGGTTTTGTAACTAGAAATTTTGATTACTGTAAATTCTGGTTGAAACACCAGATGGCTGTTCCTTTTTCTGTTATGTTAGTATATTTGTAAGGAAAAGAGCTAAAAAGTTGTTTCCGATGTTGCATTGGTCATTCCCAACTTACAATGAGCTCTTTTGCTCAATATATTGCAAAGATCAGCAGCAGCTACACATTGGAGTCCGTGAATTAGTTTTTTAATGTTTTTGCACCCATTTTTTTTAATCTGATGTTTTCCTTTCAGACTAAAAGATGTTGAAACCGCCATGCAAATTTACCCATCCATGTGATCACAAACAGGACAATCTAGTGTATATGGAGATGATGATATGATCAGAACCGTCAACAACTGATCACAAAATTGAACGGATAAAATTTTGCAAAGAACAGTATTATTAAGTGTTCAGCAACTCGGCACTGATTAGATCTATAAATGTTAATTCAGTTTGGAAATGCGGATAAGTTATTCCAACTCAAAATTAATTTTTTTTTAAGTTTATAAATTGAGAATTGAATCAGAAAATGAAAAATATAAGTCTAATCCGTCCAATGGAGCATGATGGGATTAGAATCTTTATGAAGATCATGCTTTTAAGGGTATCCCCCCATTAAACTGCACTCCATGGTTGGCGGTCCATTATCTAATCTAATCTACTAGTTGGACCACTCATCCAACCAAAATAAAAATAAAAATATTACCGTAGTGACCGGACGCTACGAGCCTTACGTGGCAAATTGGCTTCGCTTATTTGAAAAAATGGGGTTTAACTGTTTTGGGATTTCCTTTCTTTAAAGCAATAAGTTCACATTATCCCAGGTTGAATAATATATAATAAATTATAAAAATCATTGATAACTAATGATAACTTCCAATACTCAAATAAAAAATTATAAGTCGAAGATCGCGTTGAGTCATTGGAAGCTATAAACCACTTTGGTGATTATTCTAAAAAATAATATAATCTATGGTCAAGTATAAAAATAGACCCCAAATTTTTAGAATATTTATATTTTAGTCATTCAACTTTTAAAACTTGTAATACAATCATCAAATTTTTTATTCATTTTTATTACTAACATGGCAGTCAACCCCCCTCCTCCTCCTCCTCATCATCATCATCATCATCATCATCATCATCATCATCATCATCATCATCATCATCATCATCAAAACCAATCATCTTTGTCTTTAAAGAAATCGAGTATTGAGAAATTCATACGAAGAGTAATTAATTTCACCGGCAAACATTGGCAAAACATGCATGATATGTCTGAGAACCATCGACGTCCGTGGAACGGTTGTTCTGATGATTTGTTCCCACGCTTACTGCTTGGATTGCATTCGCAAGTGGAGCGATTTGAAGAGGAAATGCCCTCTCTGTAATTCCACCTTCAATTCTTGGTTCTACAAAATCGATCTCTCCTCTCCAAGATTCCTCAAACACCAATTACCTGCTCTCTCCGACTGCAGATCGATTACTCCTCGACCTCCATCCATCGAATCGATCGTCGACGGTGGGATTTTTTGTTAACGAATTTCTGATTAAATGGAGTAAAGAATTGATTACTTAAGTTATTTTTTTATTTGTTTGTTTGGGGTTATTGAAAGAATTATGAGAGAAATTAACCGCGTTTACATGAGATCGAGGCCATTGCCTTGGCGACGATCATTTGTGCGACTGGAACTGTGCCACTTCATGTTATCGCTGAAAGGAAGCTTCAATGGCGTGCCAGGTACTTTATGCCGACCAGCTAAGCTATATGATTATTCTTTTATTTTTGGGGATCGAAAAAGAAAAAAAGAAAATGGTTGATGGGAAAATTTTGGGTTTCTTTTTGCAGTGTGTAATTGAAGAGTGCAAGCTGTTCCTATATCTCATGGGATTAGTTCTCAGCATGTATGTTTACATGGTTTAAGGTTAGCAATTTTTGGAAAATTTTCATTTATTAAAATTGTTTTTACGAGGCAAATGCACTTTAGAAGAAGAACGAAGAATCAAGATAACATGAACCAGCAGATTAGTTTAATATATGATCTTGACGTGTTCTCTCATTGCTTTCAGAATGTACACAGAAATGCTTTTGATAAAAAGAAGATTATGCAAAGAATAGAACCATGGATTCGAAGGGAGCTTCAGGCTAATCATGGGAATCCAAATCCATTAATCATTCTTCATGTTGTGTCCTCAGTTCTTTTTTCTGGACATGAAAAAAAGTTCGATGGCTCTTCTTCCACCTCTTCAAGACAGGTTTGTTTTGGCAATACCTTTCTTGCTCCTTTGGAACCTTTCCAAACCAATATGTTTTGGCATGAACTGAGGTGAGTGTTACACCCTTACTAAATGTTGTGTTTTTGTTAGAAGAAGAAAGTTAACGAAGAGCAAGAAGAAGGTTAACAGAGTGAACGTGCAACATCAGCCCTAACTAACGGAAGGTAATGATAGAGAAAAAAATGAAAACGAAGTAAAAGTTCGATGACTGTATTGCAAGTTTTAAAAGTTGAGTGATCAAAAAGTAAGCGCCTTAAAAGTTCAAGAATTATTTACATACTTTACCCTATAATTTATTAAACACTTTTAAATTTAGAATAAATCATTATTTTTTTCTTTTCCCAATAACTGCTCTAAGTTTACCTCTCGAGCATTTAAAAATCATTTTTAATACCTTTTCTTTGTCTTTATCTTGAGTTTAGTAATCTTGAATATTGAAAAAGCGTATTATATTAAATAATAGCATAATTTACTATTTAAGAGAAACCCTTTAAAGGATTACCTTGGTTGATATTGTTCATGTGTTTTTTTCAAATCTACTTCATGCCATCTCCAGTCCTCATCTCTACTCTAGAGCATTTTTATTTCTACTCTAGAGATGAAATAATAATTCATCTCTAGCACTATCTCTACATTATCATCAACTTTACTTTATTCATAATATTTAACTATTATAATATTAATTTTAGAAATATAAAAAAAATTAGAAAAGATTAAAAAAAATCCGAAAAATTACAAAAAAATTAGTATGATTATTTATCTAATTTTAATATATTTTTATCTATCTTATAATTTAATATACTTTAATTAAAAAACAAAATGTAGCGCAAGCTACAGTACCACACTAGATGTGGCACAGTACTGTAGCAAATCTCTACTGCAACGCAAGATGTGGCGCAGGGCTGGAGCTGTTTTTTTCTCCACACTAGAGATATTGTTGAAATGTGGCGCAGCATTGGAGATACCCTAAGAAAAAAAAAACCTTAGTGCATGGAGACAATATTTTTCTTGGGAAAATTTGGAGGTTAGGTTTGACCATGGCAGTATTTTCAAGGTTCACAGTTGAAGAACATGGGGCAATGGCTCTCCCTATAGCATCCACCTGTTAGAGGTAACCCTAATTACACGAGAAGGGTAATACAAACATAAATAAGCCAAATCAGTTTACGTTATTTGTCGTTCACTGAATCAGATTGTGGTGTTTTTAAAAACACGTGTCCCATCGTTCACTCACATGCAAATTTTGGTTCTCAAAATTACTACACATTACCTTAAACCTTCGCTGTACAGATTTTTTTTTTTACCATTGCCGTTTGTTTTACTCAAAGCCACACGACTTTGTTTTGTCTACACGTGAGAGTATATATCAAATCCAACGTTTAACTTTAATTAAGATTTCTCGACAACATAAAACCAGATTTACGGTGTCAAGTTTCAAAGTTAGCTACTTGATCACCCACTTTCTTTATTAATTATACCCATCATTATCAAACACAATTTCAGCCTCGTTCTCCTCCATCCTTTTTCTTAATTTTTAAAATGGTTATAAGCTTGACTAGCCATGGGTTTAACTCAAAATTTAAAATGGTTTTCAGTATTCTTAGGTACAAACATCAACAAATATTATAATAATGGCGGGCCAGGGGCCATCCTTGAATAAAGTTCATGAAATGAAGACAATGTTCACATGTATAGTAGTATATATGATAGGTGAAAGAAGCTAGGACTTTTAGAAATTAACAGGTTGGAGCAAATCTTATGAGTAGGAAATTACGATTGGTGAATTTTGTGGGTATTTTATGTACTTTGTTCTTCCAAGTCTTAAGAATGCTTTTGTTTTTTTCGTTATGCCTTTATCTTATCTCTTTTGTAGTTTATCCTAAAAGTAAGGTTTATCTAATTGGAATCAGTCGTATACGTCCAAATCCTTCAAATTAAGGATAGTTTTTTTTTTATAACTGAAGATACTCATTTTTTTTCATTTAAATATTATTTATATTATTATTATTATTATAATTATTATTATTAATATTATTATTTATTATTAATATTATTATTATTACAAGCCCAAATCCCAGGCCCAACCAAAACCGGCCCAGACCCAAAAGGAAACCCTAAACATTTGGAGTTTCAGCTAGGGTTTCTAAACCCTAGCTCTAGCCGCCGCCTCAATCTCAGCCGTGGGATCTGAGAGATCCAACGGCCCACATTCATCCCGAACAAACCCTAGGGTAATGATACCCTAGG